AGCTGTTAACCAGTTAAGAGCACGTGGGTGTAACACAATTCACCGCCCAGATTTCACATGAAAAGATCCAGGTGGTTTTATCTTTCCCCAGTTAAGTGATGTGCTGTTTCGTCTTCTCTGGGCGTCTTTGGCCTTGCTTCCTTATCTGCGTGTCTGGCAGCACAATTCTAACAACAGTCTCATGAAAACATTTCAATGCTTTCAAATCCATCTTACACAGAACCTATCAGACTCCATCTTTGTATGACTACAAGTTCCAGTTTCCTCCTACTTCCTCACAGAGAGGTTTGAAAAGAGATGCAGCACAGCACGTACTTCAGGAAGTACATTTAAGCAAAGACAGAGATTACCAGGTACCTTTGTCTGCCATTTCTTTAACTTTCCAAAATGAAGACAGTTGATGACAGAGGGCTATACTCTGAAGAACATGATTGACACTGCTGTTTATCTAAGCTTAATTGGCTGAATCTTGAGCATTTCACTGCTATGTTTGTTTTTTATTTAGGTTATTTGTCTTGAGGGTGTTCTGTTTGGAAAGATTTAATGAAATTCAATGGGCAGTTTTGATATTGTTGGCAAGACTATGAGTACAGATAGAAGGGCACATGCAGACACAGAGCATGGGTTCCAAATGTGCCATGAGGTGTTACTGATTTTTTTAAGGGCCTGTGAGGCTGGGAGTACCTCCAAAGGCACTTCACAGAGTGTATCGTCCATCTCTTCCAGCAGAAGGAACCTGTCTACCATAATAGGAGAATTACAGGGATTGTGTTTAGAAAAAGAGACACCAGAGGGTGCCATTTTGGCGGGAAAGACTGAGGGGCTAAAAAAGAAGGGAGGAGGGGGAGGGGCAGTTGGAGATAGAAGAGGAAGAGGCGTTGGGTGGAGGAAGAGGAGAAAGTAGACAGAAAAGAAGACTTGGTAGAGATAGTGCAGGAAGACCCCTGGACAGGAGAATGGATAGAGTCCAAAGTCCCAAGAAAGTATGCAGAGAAAGAGTGGAAGAGACAAATCTACAGAAAACCACCCTATTGGGGGGAAACTGAAGAGAGATAAAGGAGAAACCAGTTCAAAGCCTGGCAGCAGCAGGAGACCCAGAGGGGAGAACACAGACAGTGTACGGAGACTCCTGGGAAACCCCGTGGGGCCAGTCCGTTCAGACCGAGGTTGAGACAAAACCCGGGCAAAAAGGTATGGGAGCCACAGGTGGGCTGGGTTTACCACCCCTCTCAATGACACCCAACATAACTGCACCCGAAGCCTCGGGCTTATCACCAAAGGGGTGTGGCCAAATTTGGAGTTCATCACCCTTAATGTTAATGGACAATTTGTTAGTGTTTGAAGATGATAAATGTTATGATCCACCTCTGAAGCAAGAGGCAGGGGCCTCTATTAACCGAGACTTGGATAAGTTGTCACAGAATAAAGATGTTTTGTAGAAGACCTTGACATCCGTGACTCATTCTGACACCACAATGGGTTGGAAGGAGATAAAGGGGTTGATAGGAATCACAGGGCCACTGGGAAATACAGCCACTAAGGGGCTCTGAGCACACCTGTGAGATACTACTTACAGCTCAACTGGAGAACACAAACCTTGCCTCTACTACCCATACAATAATACTGTATAATATAATGGAACTGTAGAGCTGGAAGGGATGCTCTGGATCATTGAGTCCAACCCCTGTGAAGGAGGCTGTGGCGGAATGCCATCACATTACATCACTCCTGTCTGTCCATCATGTAAGCTCAAAAAGGTAGGAGCCTATGATAGAGCAGGAGGGGCGGAGTCAAAGAGACGGTTGAGGAGTTAGAATGACAGTTATGGGGGTAGAGAGAAGCAGGAGAGAGAGAGAGGGATTTGAAGAGAGAGAGTTAGGAGATTGAATTGAGAAGGTTAATACATAAATTGAACAGTTGCAGTGATAGAGAGACTAGGGAAAGAGTTATAAGGAATAGAGAATACATAACTAGTACAAGTATATTGTTGTTGTGAATAAAAATACGGTACATTCAAACCAATGCATAACCAAATCCTATTTAATGAATGATCCAGAACATACTGTATGTGATTTTCCCTTTATGATTTACAGAACAATAAAAGAACATCTGTAATTTACTCCTGTGATTCTTAAACTTAAAAGTTCAATAAACCTGTTATAGTTGGCAGCACATGTGTCTGAAATACGTATTTGGTATTGTGAGAATAATACCTGGTGGCAGTGTGTAAAGAGGAAACCTATGTTTAAGGGAGAAATAAACAAGGGACACTGGATGGATACGACAGAGGCATAGTGGGGAATTGAACCCCCAACCAACCAGCCTCTAGTGCACAGGGGCTAGGTGTTCCTCCCACAATCCTCTAGTGCACAGGTATTAGCATATGCTAATACCTTTTAATACCTGTGCACGAGAGGATTGTGGGAGGAACATCTAGCCCTTGGGTGTGCTTATCCCTATGATTTCCCCAAATGTGGAGAACTCAACTGCATAATTTATGTTAATAGGGGATTGCGTTTGTTATTTCCCTGGCATTTCTAAAATCCTTTTCATCTCTTTTTGCTTCATCAGGACCTATTGCAAAGGCAGCAAATCCTGGTGATCTCTTATACTGTATTGCTTTCTCCCTCTTTTTCTACCCAGTGGTAAAGGAACAGGGCAAAAGGAGTCACCATTATCAGGAGCCAGGAGGGTTTTTTGACTCCTTTCACCCTCTTTCTTTGCTGCTAGAGAGAGAAAGAGGGGGAAGGCCATCTGAGACCCACTGCATTTCCAAAGGCAGTGCAGGTGAGGGGATTGCTTTTCCCCAATATGGTATGGGGAACTATCTTTTGCAAGATGATGTTTTCTATGGACAGTTTTTGCAAGACAGTGATTTTTTCCCCATTGGAACGCATTAAATAGATTTCAATGCATTCCTATGGGGAACTGCGTTTTGTAAGACAATGTTTTCGCAATACTGCGATTTCCACGGAATGAATTAAAATTGTCTTGCGAGGCACCACTGTATTGATTTTGCTGCTGTCTGAACTCTAGGCAGAGCAAAGTTAGAGAGAAATTCTGTAGATAGTAGACTTTGTATTAAGGAAATAGAGAAGCCAATTAGGGCTATATATTGCTAACTAACACTCTTTGCAACATTTACTTACACAAATTACTATGGGGGAGGAGGGTTACAACAACATCCATAATGAATTGCCTTTAAAAACAACTTTCCAAGTACCCAACAGAACAATAAACAACTCAACTGCTGAATAGTTCAATGAGAGATGGCTCACCAGCCCAAACCGACCTGTTTCTCTCCATGCTTCCCTTGCAATGGGCAGGGAGGTGGGTCAAGGGCAAGAGATTGTGGAAGTTGTAGTCCAAACCTTGTGGAGTTCCGCCGCCACCCCCTTCTTGAAGCAAACTGGTATACTCAAGCCACTCACATGCTGCCCTTTTTGCCTTCACTGAACGGATCCTCAGGGTTCAGGGAGAAAGAGGAGCGACCGACTTTCCGCCGTGCATTTGCTTAAGTCCCTCTATGGCAGCCCCATGGATTTTGTCCTCAGCACTCTCAGTTCAATTCCCAACTGTCTGATTTGAGAGCTTACTCTGTCTCCCAAATGATTTACAAATAGAGGCACACGAACACCTGTGTACACGGAAGATGGGAAGATCTCAAGTCTAACGTCCCTCAAAGCCATTTAAGGTCGGCCAGGTGAATCCTCCCTCCCTTGACAGCCAGACAGCCAGCCACAACAGGACAACAAGAAAAGCCGGAAAAACTGCCGAATTCCACCCACTAAGCCAGCCCTGTCCCTAGAAATCCTGCCAGGAAGGCCCATGGCAATCCCGCCCAAAGAGATGCCGCGCCACCCCAAACTGATCTATTTCTCTCCACGCTTCCCTTTCAACGGGCAGGAAGGTGGGTAGGAAGGCAGGACAGACAAATGGGGCTCATCTCTCCCCACCCGGCTGCGAGGCAGCACTTCACCGGGTGAGGATGGGGACCTGAGAGATCCTTTCCTTCCACCTGATCCACACTCGGTGCTCCCCTAAGGGAGAAAGGTGAGACGTGGCAGGCAGAAAGAGCGGGATCGCCTGGCAGTGGCGGCGGCACCAGGTCCACTGCCAGCACGGTGGCTGCAGCTGCCTTTACAGGTTTGGCTCACTCCATCGCCCCCCTACCGCCTCTTCTGTTCCTTTGGCCCCACGTTGCCCCTTTTCGTTCCACCCCCCGAAAAATGAAATCACACCCTGGGGGGCGATATCGCCCATGTTAAGAACCACTGTTAGAAAACACGACTACTGTGACACCAAAAATATTAACGTATTTATTGGGGGGAAAACAAAAAAGTATTAGAACCCACCTCATCAGTTCAGTATTTATTTTTTTAATCACTAGTTTTTTTGTCAGCGGTGCATAAATTTCAGAACCCAGTGTTCATCTGTGGCATCCCATACTCTTTAATGACCAAAAAAGCACTTGTACTGTTTTTTTCCCTGTACACAGAGATTATTTCTATGAAAGAAGATAATTAAATTGTAAGATTTCTTTATTATGTATCTTTTTGTTTTATATTTAAAAATCACAGTAATGTGGTATGATATAAAACAAGTATATGGCTTGTGCTATACATGTTTGAATTACCTGTTGGGTCTCCCTGTAAACAACCTTGCAACATTGCAGATGTTTCATTGTGCACGTACAGCTGGCATGTAGTCCACAACTGCACAGATCAAGTCAAAGTAAATCGTTTTCAAAGAAAGCAATTAGCAGAACAGACTATGAAACCTGAAATTTCTGGTTCTGCCTAAATCATGGGGCAACATTGCACTGATACAGCAGTAGGTGCAGTTTTCTATCATAAATATTTATTGGCTATTGCAGCAGTCCTTAGAAGTAGTTCAGGTTAAGACTTTATTTGAGGGTGCGTGTTTTTGTATGTGCATGATACAGTGGAGGCATGTGCTAAATGACATACCATATTTGTTGCTTTTGTGTTCCTTTGCAGATGGGTTTTTTGCAGATGAATGATGACTTCATATTTATTGAACCACTCAATCACACATTGGCTGTGACAGGTCATGCACATCGGATATACAGACGTAAAAGATCCATACGTGAGACAGCCACTGAAAAACCTACTTCTCATAGTCAGTACTGTGGTGTTCTTACTGGTAATGTAATCTTTATAAATATATTTCAATGCAGTAGGTATTATTTGTAAGTCTTCATCTTTGATTACTATTCTGCTTGTTATTTAGTGTTATTTTACATGGTTAATAAGGCAGTAAGGTGTTGTGGATAGATTAATGGACTAGATCTCAGGAGATTTGGGTTTGATTCCCTACTCAGCCATGGAAACTGGGGTGGGGAAGGTAGAACTGGTAAAGCCCCTTAAATACTTCACTGACTTTAAAAGCTGTATTAGGGTTGCTATACAGTGGGGTCTTGACTTAAGAACGGCTTGAGTTAAGAACATTTTGACTTAAGAACCGCTCTCATAGGAAAATATTGACTTGACTTAAGTACTTAGATTTGAGTTAAGAACTGAAAAAAACCATGTGGGAGGCAGGGAAAGTGCAAAATGTGAACTTTCAGTTAACTGTTGGCCAGTGAAAAGGGTGCCTGTCTGCTTCCTCACTCCTCCCAGCGTTTAGAGAGTGGATTGGGAGACAGTCTTCGGACTGCCTGGTACTGTACTGCCTGGACTGTATTTTCCCTGCCTTCCCTGAACCTTTCTTGACCTAAGAAAAAAAGAAACACTATATCCCCCTCTAGTGGTCGAAGGCGGAATAGCAGCTTCCCATTAGTTTCTATGGACGGAAAAGAGCCGATACGGATCAAATGGTTTTCAATGCATTCCTATGGGAAATGCAGATTTGACTTGAGAACATTTTGACTTGAGAACCGCCTTCCAATACGGATTAAGTTCTCAAGTCAAGACCCCACTGTATGTTGGTTCTGACTTGATGGCACATAACAGGCCATGACCAAAATCCCTACTGTGCAGTCTGCTAAGTTGAATCAAGCTTTATTTATTTCAGTGGTTTGTGAAGAGGTCTTGTAATAAGCATATATTCATGGTAGTAGGTTTAACTAAAGTTAATGAAATGTATTTCCAGATACATGGGAACTCTACTCTCTGTTTAAAAGCAGTAGAGTATTCTTCTACTTAGAAAGAAGTTTAGCTGTGGACGTAAGACTTCCAACTAAATGTGTTTAGAATGGATATGCCAGGATTCTAAGAGGACAAATTACAAATGACCCTGCCTATCCCACTTGGGATTGGAATGCTGTTTCTTCTACTTTGACATCCAATTTTCTTTTCTTTGTTCTGCTCTGTCTCTTCATTGTTGTTGTTGAATGTGGTGTTAAGATGTATTGCTCAAGAGCTGAGCTGAGTTTTGTTGAACTACAGTATTTAGAAAATTACCCTGTCTTCAAGCTTTGCAGGCTGTTTCCAAGTCAGTCAAGAAAACTGCTAGAAAGTTTAGATTTGTCTTACAGATAGCTTTTGCAAGCTAAATAGAAAAAATTGATTGCCAGATTGGAAGCTAAATAGAGTAGTGTTTCTGTAAACTGCTCAGCCTTAAAGTGTTAGAAATCCAGCCATTTTAAGTGCCCTTCTTGTTTTGCCTAGTTCAGGAATCTGATATGAATGAATGATGATACCATGTGACGTGCTTTTTACTCAATGCCTTTTCTTTCATTATAGATGAAGTACTGAGTATTAGGAGGGTAAAGTCTAAATCTCTCTTTTCCTCCTCTAGGAATTTAAAAGTGGCATATATGATCAGAAACCAGTTATATTGACCTGTCTCTGAAACCACTTATTAGGCAGTTTACAACATTTATACTTCTGTTCTTTTATGAAAAACAAATAGTAGTTTACCGTTTCACCATCTTTTCAATTCTGAACTACATATGAAACACTGCAGTATGGTATCTCTAGGAGCTATTGTGCTTGGTTGCTTTCTTTTAAAACTTCTTCCTCTACATGACAGCAATTTTTAACAGTGAATACTTTTTGAATCAATAATCTCTCGAAATGGAAGAAGCTATTTAATGTGACCATTGTTTACACAATAGCCTTCTTATAAATTATTTTTGAAACAAAAGCAACAATGCAAAATACTGTAGAAATGCTATCACTAATATTGTTTTTTATTAGATACAGGGAAAGTATTTTGCTAACATTTCATCACATAAGAATATTCATAAGTTTAAAGTAACAAGCTAAACTGATTCTTTTAGGCTTGCATGATCAATGGAAATATACAAAATGATTTCTTTATATCGGTTATATCTGTTATTTCCCTTCTAAATAACTGTTACTGTTTTAGTGTATATAAATATTTCTTCTTTCTTTTTAGGAAAGAGGCTTTTGTTATCTGATGGTATTGTTTTATTAAATGGAATATAAAATACCCTTAACATAATCCATGTTAAAATTTAGTGCAAACTCATTACTGTTTCTCTGTACTTGTAACATGAGAAACAGTTTCTCATGTGATTTATTGTATGTTGCATTACTCCACATGCCGATACTATGGAAATACATTTGAGAGAGCTGTGATTGCATCAAAGAGCTGTCTCTGTGGTGCAATGGTTCCTAAACTTGAGAATATTGGACAGTGACTTCCAGAATCTTTGCCAGCACAATCAGTCATCAAGTGTAGGGGACTGATGTCCAACAGCATCTTCGGAGTAGGGATGTCAGCAGCAACCTAGATCTTAGGATATCAAGGCCAAATGCTTGACTATGGCATGAACACTGAGATGATACAGTGGCAAGGCAGGCAAAGTTGGGAGGGGAATTTCCTCCCCAAACTTTGTGCCACATCTGCTTGTGCAATAAGAAGGCTTGTGAGTTATGATGCTGCTTCTTCACTCCCTGCCTTCCTCCAAATGGCATGATGAACCCAAAATCAGTGTGCCAAAAACCCAGGACAGAGGGGAAGGGACTGGGGAGAGAATGTACTTGAATAAAACAATGATATACTATCTCTTGAGGTTTGAGGCTGCTCCCGGAACTGTTCTTAGTTGCTGTTGAAATTTGGTTGTAAATTGCACGATTTTGTGATAAAGCAGGGTGACACAGAAAGGTGTAAAACTAATTACAATATCTTGGTGGTTCCACTTGGGAAGAAGAGTTTGGAGGAAAAAAGAAGGCACAGTAGCAGTAACTGGCATTTCTGCTGAGTGGAGATGTCAGCTGCCCAGAGACCTTTTGGTAGTGTGGGCAGCATATAAATAAAATAAAATAAAATAAAACACCAGCATTGTGCCTCTGGTATCAAATTCAGCAGCAGTAAGAAAAACTAATGGGCTGCACAGATGGGTTCACGGATCACATATTGCCAATGATCCAGTGATCTGTGATCCAGTATTATCCAGTGATGGCAGTGACCTGTGATCCAGTATTAATCATTATGTAAATATATTTCAGTTATCTATTGACCATCACTTCCGTTTTGAACAGAAACCTTCAAAAATAATGTATACTCAATCTGAGAAGAAGTGGAAAACACCAAGACCAATTTCCTCTTTGAAGTGAAAGCCGGAATGGAACTGAAAGACTGCTTGTGTCCTTTTAGAAGGAAGGAACCTCAGTTTTCCTCTGTGACTTCCAAAGAGAGTACAGTGGTGCTTCGCACAACAATGTTAATTGGTTAAAAAAAAACGTTGTGTGAAAACATCGTTCTGTGAAAACCATTTCCCATAGAGATGCATTGAAAACCAGATAATCCGTTCCAATTGGAACGGATTGCCGTCCTTAAGCAAAAATCCCCATAGGAAACATCGTTGTGTGAAACAATGTATCCACCATTCAAATGCATTGAGTAGGCTTCAAGGCATCTCAATGGGGGAGAAAAAAATGCACCAAAAATTAATGAAGACTCAGAACAAAGGCAGATTAAGTTTGCAAAGGTTTCACAAGCTGCACTAACGAAGTCCAAGCATTTAAAACAGTTTCTGAGTCTTCGTTAATTTTTGGTAAAAAAAATTCTGCCCCATTGAGATGCATAGACCCCCGCCCCAACCAAGGAGCAGCATGGCAGCAGTTAAAAATTTTTTAAAATCAGATTTGAACTTGGCCATCCAAATCCCAGAGGCAGGCATGGCCACAAGAGAACAGCAACCATTTCCTTGCAGAATTCCACACACACAAAGCATAACCCTCCCCAACCAAGAAGCAGCATGCAGGGAAAAAAAATTAAAATCAAGTTTGAACTTGGGCATTCAAATCCCACACAAATCCACAGAAACCCCCAGCCAAAAACCCCCCTGCAATTTCCCCAATTGAAAAAAAACCCATAACCAAAGCCAGACAGACCCAAATTCCCCCTTGCAAAAATCATCAGAGTTTTGCAATACAGTACAGTACAGATACACTGTAAAACCCACCACCCACCCAGGAGAAGAAATGCAAGCTTACCTTTGAAAGTTCTCCAGCACAGAAAGCACCCACAAGACAGAGCAAAGAGGCAAAGCCAACCTTTGAACTGCATGTGGGAAAGTAAACCCAGGATGCATGGGGAAGGTTTTTTATCCCTTCCCTGCACAGGCGCAATGCATCCTGGGTACAGGCAGTTAGAAGAACAAATTAGCATTGCCAAACAGCCACCTTTCCCACCCTTTTTTGAAAACATCGTTAAATGAAACAGGGGACCCAAAATGCAATCATCCTGTGAAGCATGGTCCCAAAATCATTTTGTGAAAATTCCCCATAGGAAACATCGTTGTGTGAGGCGGCAAATTTTTCAGAAAAAGCCATCGTTGTGTGAATTTATCGTTGTGTGAGGCACTCGTTGTGCGAGGCACCACTGTACAGTTAAGCCTAGGCTCCCAACTTAAATTCGGAATATTCAGATGTTAAACAGTTTCTTTTTAGGTTTTTTTACATTTTTCTTTTCCCTTCCATTATATAGTCCAGGAATGAGAAGTTTTATTTGTTTGTTTGTTTGGTTTGGTTTTGGTTAGAGTACATCAAACAGAAGATTCTATTGCTCCCTCTGCAGGTCCTGCTGTTAGGCCCTAGCCTTTGAAAAATAGATGTTTTTAGTTGGTAAACCAACAACAAGGTGTGTCTCTAGGAATATTCAGGAGTTAACACCTCCCCCTTTTTCAGTAACACACCTTAGAAAGCAATGTGATAGTCAGACTGGGATCA